CAGCGATGGGGGCCCGGGGGGCATTTTGCCAAGGGGCCTTGGGCGGCTGGAGCCCCTGGGTGGGCCCGGGCCCACCCTCCCAGCCCCGGCTAAGCCTGCCCCGGCTCTCCCCTCCCCTCCGCACTGCCCCCACCCCAGGATTTATGGCCTCGGTAGGTGGACATGAAAGCCAGGCACAAGGCAACGTGTGTGCTTGGGAAAAGCCCGCGCCCGGCCGGAACCCGGAACCCCGCCTGGCGTGGCCCGGCCGGCCGTGGGGCTCCCTGCCCAGGCCCTCGCCCGCCTCAGCCCTGCTCGTCTGATGACCGGGGTGAGCGTTCGCCTGTCTCGGGGGGCGGGGGGGCCGAGGCTGGCGCCCTTTCTGGCCCTGGCTCCTCAGGTTGAGGGGTGTGGACTCCCGTTCCTGCTCTTTCCGTGTCTTGGTTTGCCCACGTGCGCGCGGCCTGGGGCAGCTCTGCCTGTGGGCTCTGGAGCCGGGTGGGGGCGCCAGTTGAGGTGCCATCTCTGCCTGTGCCCAGCCCTCACTGGGGCCGAGGCCCCTGGACCCGGAGGCCTCAGTGACCTGCCCAGAGCCTGTGGTTGCCGAAGAGGCAGGGCCGGACCCTGCGCCTCCAGGCTCTGGATCCAGAGCACTTCCGCTTCTCTGCCCACCAGCTGACCTTCCCAAGGAGGACACGGGGCTGGGGGGGACCCAGGGCCACTCTGGGGCCTGCTAGCAGCTCTGGCCCCGTTTCCTCGTCTGTGAAGCAGGAGCCACAGTTCCTGTTTGTCATGGAGGCGTGAGTGCCGCTGGGCCGGGGGAGGGTGACACTCAACAAATGCTGCCTCGCCTGCTGCCCGGCGGTCAGCTGAGCTGGCCCGCCCTGCCAGCGGGAGGGGGGCGGGGGCCTACGCGGGAGCCAAGGCTGGTCCAGCGCTCTCGAGTGTGACTTTTCTCCCAGAAATAGGCTTGTCAGCAGCGCTACGAGGCCCTGGAGGGGCCAGTGACCCAGGGACGCCTCTGTTGAGGCGCCTGGGTCCCCTGCTGGCCCCACTGGCCACCACCAGCCTCCGTAGGCAATCAGCTAAGGTCACTTGGGTCAGGGCCGAATGTTGACACAATAGCTTTGATCTCCCGGGGAAAAAAGAAAAATAAAAGCAGTTCAGCTGGGGACATGCCAGGGAGGTGACTTTTAACGCCACCGGTGATTTTCCATCCTTGCACCGAGATCCTTCCTGCGCAGAAGGGTGCCTGAGGGGACACCGGTGATGCCGCTGGCAGGCTTCCCGGGAGGGCCTCTGCCTGCCAGCCGCGCGCCCAGGTGGGAGCCTCTGCAGCGCCCCGACGTGCGTGGGGACCCTCAGCTTGCAGACCCCGCCCTGGTGCCGGGCGCCAGCCCATGGCAGGTGGACAAACCTCGCGGCCGAGGAGCATCCCAGGAGGGACTTGCCGGGGCCCGCGCCGCAGGAGGGGACCCTGTCCCTTGCGGGCTGACAGCGTCCTCCTGAGCCGGCCTCCGTCCACGGGCACGCCCGTTTCTGCTGCTGGAAGCCATGCCGCAGGGCAGTGGCCCAGCGGAGGGTTTCATGGTCTCGGCAGATGC